GCCCTGGAAACATATCTACTTCTAAGCCTGCCAGACCACTCAGAACTTTGTCTGTAGCTATGCTAAATTCTAGTAGTATACCACAGTCCTTCTCCCTGATTTTGATACCCACATCATCCCTTGCATGGGGGAACACCAACGCAAATTATTCACTTGGAACTCTACCTACATGCTCTAGCTCCATGCACAAATTATCGCTGTGGTTGTTAATGGCCCCTCCTCTACGTAGTTATCCTTTTGTACTTGTAAAATAACTTAGAAATTCCTTTACCTGCCCGTTCTTTCATGCCCGTTTTTACTCTCCTTTTTAAGTTTCCTCTTGCACATTTTGTACTCCTATAGGGCTTCTGTTGTTTTGAGCCCTTAGTATCTGCCATAACCCTCCTTTTTCTCTTTATCCAATCCTGTAGTTCCCTTGATATCCAGGGTTCACAGGATTTGTCGGATTCGCCCTTTGTCTTTATTGGAAGATGTTGGCCCTGTATTCTCCCTAGTTCCTTCTTGAATGCGTCCCACTAGTCTGATACAGATATAACCTAAAAGTTTAAACTCCCGTTCCACTCTGGCCAAATCACACCTGATCTTATTAAAATCAGACTTCCCCCAGTTTATAACTTAGATTTCAGGCCCATTCTTGTTCCATAACAATGTTGAATCTAATGGAGTTATGATCACTGTTTACAAAATGCTCCGCCCATTGACACATTAACCAATTGCCCAGCTTTATTACTTACAATTAAGTATACAATTGCCTCTTCCCTTGTAAGGCATTCTACGCACTGGCTTTAAAAAGCTATTGTGATTGCATTTTAAGGATTCTACTCCCTCTAAACCTTTCACAGTATGACTACCTCTGTAAATGTTAGAGAAGATGAAATTCCAGACTATTATTATTTTTACACTTCTCTGAAATTTGTCTACATATCTGTTCTTCTTTTAGCGTGTTAGAGAGTCTACAGTACACTCCCACCAATGTGATTGCTCCTTAATGATTTGTACATTCTAACCATATGGCTTCATTTGAGGAACCTTCCAAGATGACATTCTTTCTTAGTGCTGTAATTCATTCCCTGATCAATATTATGATACCCACTCCTTTTACCACCTTTTCTGTTTCGCTTGAAGACCCTTTATCCTGGAATATTGAGCTGCCGATCCTGCCCCTCTCTCAGCCATGTTTCAGTGATAGTAATTACATCACACCTCCATGTTTTAATTTGTGCCCTCAACTCATCTGCCCTGTTCATCAGACTCCTTGCATTAAAATAAATACCATCCAACCAAGCCAAACTCCCAAGTGCCTTAACTGGCCTATAATTTCTGCACCACCTTGACTCCTTTGCTGTCTCTTCTAATTTTGGCTATTCATCTTCCCTGTTGTACCTTTTCTCTGGATGCCAACCCCTATCTACTTAGTTTAAACCCTCCCTAACAGTTCTAGCAAACCACCCTGCAGGAGATCATCTGTAAGCTGTTATTGGTATCAAATTTTGTTTGTAGAGCCATACAACATGAAACAGACCTTTCGATTCAACTAGTCCATGCTGACCAAGTTTCCCAAACAAAACTAGTCTCACTTGCCTGTGGTTAGCCCATATCCCTCTCAATCTTTCCTGTTAAGATAATTAGTTACATCAGCAGTGCTAAATGAATGCAGGTTGTTAAATTTTGCACCAAACACCATAATTAATATTTGTTTTGTGGTAATACAACATTGGCTGTCTTTTGATGATTGATTTATTCTCTTTGGCTACAGACTCAGCAATGTGGTGAAACAGTTTTTTATCCCTATATACTTTATCTGAGCCTCGAATAATTTTGACACGTCTCTTATTAACCTTCCTTGTGCTGATGAAAAGAGCCTTAGACCTGAAATGCGAGTTGTATAGTCGCCAACGTTGCATACAGAGTTGATTGGTTAATTTGAAGTCCATGGAAAGAAAGGAAAGTGTTGAAGAGTGAAAGCCCCAGGTTAATGGATAAAGAGTGTGAAGATGAGCCATCAGCTGCAGCACTGAATTTGATTTGTGAAACGTATGAAAGAGCTTTAGATTTAAGGGATTTTTGGACTACTTTTGGAGCTCAACAGGATTGTACAGACAGTGGTTTTCACTTGAAACAGAGGCACTCATGTCTTTGAAGAAAGGCAAGTAAGAGAGTGGTGGAAGACTTAAATTATTAAGGGAGGTGGGATGTTCTAAAAAAATATCCTAAGAACACTTTGGGTTTATGAGCAGGGTGCAAATAGTGATCCAAAATGAGTTCTATACGTGAATGCATGTAGTATGAGAAATAAAATGTGTTAGAAGCATAAATTCAGTGTGAAGAGTATGATCTCATTGTCGTTGTTGTAACCCCATTAGAAGCTGGATATGATCAAGAGTTAAATATTGTAGTTGCTAAAATATAGACTTTTTGATGAATAACAAGCTGCATTAATTTTTAGTTTTTCTGATCGAAAAGGATCTTAGTGCAAATAGAGATCATAATATGAATGAATTTGGTACTAGTTTTGCGAAGTGAAAAGGATGTCACAAACTGTTGAGTTTTAAGTTAGGCAAACTGATGCTCAATTGGTTAAAGCTTTGCGCCCTTTAGTTTTTCACTGATTATTTGGCATACCTGTCTTGATTTCGCCTCAACTGGTCTTATGCCTAAGCTTAAAACCATGTACTCTGTGAGCAAATGTAGTAATACATTCTAGAACTATTAACTGATCACTCACCAAGTTTTCTTTGCTATTTTAAATGTCTTTGGTCCAACAGAAAGCAAATGTGACTGAAATTCTAAATGGGCACAAAGGAAGAGTCAACTGTGTGCAGTGGGCTCATAGAGATGATTGTGGTAAGTAATGAAGCATTGTGTTATTTCCAACAGGCAAAGTGAGCATTTTGTTGATAAGGAAACAAATCAAAAATTGTAGTATACAGTTTTTATTTTGAAAGTTTCTTACTTGAGAAGTTATTTGATGCAGCTTGTATGATCTAAGTTGCTAAATTTGAACTGTTTGATACCAAGACATTGCCTCATATATTTTTAATCACTCAGTTCAGCCATGTTATGACATATCTGAGGCAGGTGAGACTTGAATTCTTAATTTCTGACCTAGAGTTAGGGACGCTACCACTGCACTGCAACAGCTCTAAGACATTATCTGATTATTAGAGTAATTCTTGTTCTTTTGCTCCTTGGACTTTAATTTCTTCTAATTGTTTGAGCTCTCTTTAACATTGTTGGATGATCACTTTGGAATCAGATCTCTGATTGGGTTGCCTATTCAAATTTAGGATTTATTCGCAAAAAATATGATTTTATAAATTTACAGGAAAATGCTATGGATGAGAATTTTGGCAATTCCTTAAGTTAGACAACATCTTATTTCTAGATATTTTTAAATCAGTCTGTTCAAATATGTTATGACACATGTCTGGTAGGACTTGAACTTGGAATCTCTAACTCTGCAGTGGAGACAATAGGAGACATGGCTAGCACGAGGGGACATAGCTTTAAATTGAGGGATGATAGATATAGGACAGATGTCAGAGGTAGGTTCTTTACTCGGAGAGTAGTAAGGGCATGGAATGCCCTGCCTGCAAAAGTAGTAGACTCGCCAACTTTAAGGGCATTTAAATGGTCATTGGATAAACAAATGGATGATAATGGAATAGTTTAGGTTAGATGGGCTTCAGATTGGTTTCACAGGTCGGCGCAACATTGAGGGCCGAAGGGCCTGTACTGCGCTGTAATGTTCTATGTTCTAATATCACTATGCCACCAGTGCTAATGTTGTTATTTTTAATGAACCCTTTTGGATATACTGTAGCACACCTAAAGGCTGACAACTTATCACATTCTCCTGCATGCCTTGGGGTTTAACTTTTCTTAACATCTGCTGTGTGGGTCCTTATCAAATACTTTGATAAAATCCAATTTAGACAACATCTGCTCCAACAACCTCATCAAGCCTCCTTGCTACTTCCTAAAAAGATCAATTACTTTAGGAAGACACAACCTTCTCTTAACAAAACCACCTTGAATGTCATTGATTAATTTGTGCCTTTCCAAGTAACAGTTAATTCTATCTCTCAATATTATTTCTATTAATTTACTTACCTGAGATCAGACTGGTGAACCTTGCACCCTTTTGAATAATCGTGCAATGTTCGTAGACTCCAATCCTCTGGGATCTCTCCTGTATCTAGTGAAGATTGGAAAATGATCCATAGATCATCTGCTGTTTCTTCTCTGGCTTCCTTTAACAGCCAAGGGTACAATTCATCTGTCCCTGATGATTTTATCCACCTTCAAGGGCATTGTTTCCTCCAGTGCTTCCCTTCCCCTCGGTGCTCATTTTATCTAATATTTCACACTCCTTTAACTGGAATATCTGCATTATGCCTCTCCTTCGAGAAGACAAATACAAAACACTCATTAAGATTCCTGCCCACTTCTTTTACATCCACAGACAAGTTACCATATACATCTCTCATAGACATTTCCATTGTTATCCTCTAGTTCTTACTGCACAGATAAAACATGCTTGGATTTACTTTTAATTTTACTGACCGGTATTTTTTCATATTGACTCTGCTTTCCTAAATTCTTTTGTTCACTTTACCTCCTGTACTTTGTATAATCCTAAGCTTCTTCTGAGATTGTCATAAGCTCTATTTTTCTACTTCATCTCACTCTGAATGCTTCTGGATTTGGTAGTAGCACACTTTTACCTAGTGGGTGCATGTTTACTCTATACCTGTATAACCTTGCTTTTCCTTGCCTCCCATTGATTTGCTGCTGACTTTTCTTCAAGTCGCTGAAATCAGTCCACTTTTGCCTGATTCTCGCTCCGCAATGTAACATTTGCTTGTCCCCAATTTAGAACTTTTATTCCTCTTCCACCTTGATCCGTTTTCATTATGATGCTAAATCTAACTGTATTGGGATCAATGTCTCCAAAATCGTCACCCACTGCTGCTTCATCCACCTGCCCAACTTAATTTCCTAAGACTAAATCTAGAATTGCACCCTTTCTTGTCGTGCTTGTTGTATTCTGGCCAAAAAAATCTTGAATACGCTTCAAGAATTTTGTGTTCTCTGAGTCTTTCATACTGCATAAATTATTGGCTCTTTTGTGGAAGTAACAAGCAAAGTGCATGAAGATGAACTTGTAGGATTTCAAAAGGCATTTGATGAAGTGCCACACCAAAGGTAACTATTCAAGATAACAGTGCCTAGTATAGGGGCTGCATTAGCATAAGTAAAGGATTGGTTAGCTAACAAGAAGCAGAGAGTCAGGATAAATGGGCCATTTTCGGATTAGAGCCTAAACTATTTACTATGTATGTAAATGACCTGAGTGAAGAAACCAAATGTATGATAACAAAATTTGTGGTCTTCAAGATAGGTAAGAAAATGACTTGTCAGAGAATGAGTGAGTCCCTAAGGGATATTGACAGTTTAAGTGAACAGTCAAAAATTTGGTGGATAGAGTATTGTAAAGAGGGATCAGAGTGTCCTGGTGTATGAATCACAAAAATTTAGTATGCAGGTACAACATGTGATTAGGATGGTAAATGGAATGTATTTATTTGCATTTATTGAAGGGGAATGGAATATAAAAGTAGCAAAATTTACTGCAGCTTTATGGGGCATTTTTTTTTGGTCTCCTTATTTGAAAGAAAATGTAATTGGATTACAACAGTTCAGAGAACATTCCCTTGACTCATTCCTGTGATGAAGAGATTGCCAAAACATAGAAAGTGAATTGTTCTGTACCCAATGAAGTTTAGAAGAAGGAGAGGTGAACTTATTTGAAATATAAAAGACCCTATGGGTACCAGAAGATTGTTTCGTCTTGTGGGGGAGATGATAACAAGGGGACAAATTTTAAGCATGAGAGACAGAGATACAATTAATATGCGGAATTCTCGGCTTCAGAAGGCGAAGCAAATTAGTTCAAGGTCCTGGGGGATGGGCGGAAATGAGGAATTTGAAACACAAATGGATCAGCATGATCTTATGCCCACGGAACTGTTACGGAGAGAGTCCTGGGATTTGGAGGCAGTGAAGGAATGGCAACACATTTCCAGGTCAGGATGGTGTGTGGCTTGGAGAAGAACTTGCAGGTGGTAATATATCTGCTGCTAGATAGTGGTGTTTGTGGATTTGGCGCAAAGGAGCCTTTGGAAATTTCTGCACTGCTGCTCCTGTGCATCAGTGGGCAGGGGAGTCAATGTTTGTGCATATGGTACCAGTCAACTAGCCTACTTTGCCATAGATGGAGCCAAGCTTCTTGAATGTTTTTGGAGCTGTAGTCAGCCAGGTACGTGGGGAGAATTCCATCACACTGCCGATTTCTGCTTTATAGATAGTAGACAGGCTTCGGGCACTTGAATTACTCGCTGAAGGATCCTAAGCCTGTGACCTGCTTTCATAACCACACAATTTATATGACTAGACCAGTTCAGTTTCTGGTCGATGGTTTGCTCCAGAGTGTTCATATTGGGGGATTTCGTGATGGTAATGCCATTGAATGTCAAAAGGTGATCATTCGATTCTCTCTTTTAGGAGATTGTCATTACCTGACACGTATATGGCATGAATGTGACTTGCCATTTGTCCACGCAAGTCTGAATATTGCCCAGGTATTGCTGCATTTGGACACGGACTACTTCAGTATCTGAGGAGACATGAATAGTGCTAATTATTGTGCAGTGGTCAATGAACATCCCTGCTTATGACGGATGCAAGATAATTTGTATCTGCCATTTTCCACCCTTGCCCCTAGGAATTGGAAAATTTCATCAACATTTTTTTCTACTTTCCATCCTCCTCTCACCTTCCCCCAGTTCAGTTCTGACCGTTCCCTTTTCTCCCTGAACTTCTCTGTTTCCATTACTGGGCAAGCTTTCAGTGAATGCCCACAAGACAACAGTTACCTTGACTACATTTAGTCACACCCTTTTCCCTGAAAGGTCTCTTCTCCTGGTTGCTTAGTCTCTGATGCATTTGTTATGATGCAACCTTAGGTACCAACACTCGGACATGTCTTTTTTTCTCAACTGAGGACTCTCCCTCACTGTGGTTGACACAACTATTATTGTGTTCGTAACATTTCTTGCTCTTCTGCTCTCATCCCTTCACCTCTCTTCCACTGAGAGTTCCACTTGTCCTCATTTTCAATGCAACCATCCCTTAGCGTTTCCTTCAGTGTAATCCCACCATCAAATTCATGTACTCCCCCAAACCCCTTTTAGCATTCTGTAGCAACAATCCACTCTGTACTTGGTTCATTCCATGGGAATCATGGGAGATATAACATCTGATATTCAGTGAGTGATGTTTCTGTTTGGGTTTCGCCAGGCCCATTCAGCTCCTGATCTGATTGCAGCCTTGATCAAAACATGGACAAAAGAGCTGAACTCAACATGAGATGAGAGTGGGTAACCTTGACATTAAAGCAGCATTTGATTGAATATGTCATTGAGGAACTCTGGCAAAATTTAAGTTCATGGGAATTCACAGATAAACGCTTCACTGTTTGAAGTGGTGCCTAATGCAAAGGAAAGTGGTTGTTATTGGAGGCCATTCATCTCAACTCCAGGTATCATTGTACAAGTCTTCATGATTGTGACTTGGGACTTGGTCTTCAGCAGTTGCATTATCAGCCAGGGCATCGAGTATAAAAGTTGGCAAGTTATGTTACAGCTGTGCAAAAGTTTAGTTAGGCCACATTTGGAATATTACTTGCAGTTCTGGTTGCCACAGATGGAGGCTGAGAGGCAACCTGATAGAGGTCTGTTAAATTATGAAAGGCATTGATAGGGTAGGATAGTCAGAGGCTTTTTCCCAGGGTGGAAAGGTCAACTATACGAGGGCACAGGTTTGAAGTGAAAGGGGGAAAGTTTAGGGGAGAAGTGCAGGGAAACTTTTTCACCCAGAGGATGGTGGGTGCCAGGAAGTCACTGCCAGTGGAGGTGGTCGAAGCAGGCACGTTAGCAATGGCTAAGGTTTATTTTGACAGACACAAGAACAGGAGGCAAATAGAGGGATAGAAACTGCACATGGGCAATAAGTAGCAGGTCTAAATAAGGACCAGGAATTGCTGCGGGCTTGGTGGGCTGAAGGGCCTGTTTCTGTGTTGTGTTGTATTGTATTGTATTGTGTTGTATAAATGTCCATTTCCTCCACCACTGGTACAGTGGCAGTTGGGTGTCCTATATACAAGAAGAACTGCAGAAACTCTGTAAGGCTCTTTCGACAGCAACTTCCAAACTTGCAGCCTATAATACCTTTAAAGACCAGGACAGCCAGAACATGGAAACATTGACACTTGCAAGTTCCTCTTCAAGCCACACCCCATTCTCACTTGGAACAATATCATCATTCCTTAACTGTGTTTGGGATAAAATCTTGGAATTTGTTATCTTCTGTTAATACTGTTAACTTCTCAAGGGCTATTTGGCATGAGCAATAAATGCTGGCCCTGCCAACGCTGCCCAGATCCCAAAAAATACTTTGTACTACCCAATTACCTCTTCTCATCATCTAAGATGTCAGAACACTTTCCAGGTGAAATAGCAATTTATATGTGCTTGTTTTATTTTGTTAAATTATATTCACTGCCCACAATGTGGACTACTGTACACGGGAGACCAACTGAAGGTTCTGAGTCTTCATGTGGAACACCTTCACGCAGTCTGCAAGAATGACCCTGAGCTTCTTGTTACCTTTCATTATAATTCTCCCCACTGCAGTTATTCTGACCTCTCTGTCCTTAGCCTCCCTGCAGTGTTCTAATATTGCTCAAACTAAATTTGAGTAACTGTCACTGAACAGTCATAGGATCTTTCACTTAGGCAGTTTTGGTCTCCTGGACTCACCTGTGGAGTTCTTTTGTAATTTCTGTCTCTATTTTTTTTTTTATCATCTTCGTTTTTGCAGATTTTTGTGCTATTCTCATTTTGCTTTGCTATAGACAGCAATTATTCATGATCATGGCAGCTATCCCCCCACCCTACCCCATCTGATATCTTTTATTTCTGGTTGTGTTTTTGTTATTGTTGATATTGCACCAAACTCTCTTTTGTCATAAGGGTAAGTGATGAAATATTGATAATGTCACTGGGCAACTAATCTAGAGCCCAAGCTATTATTCTGGAACATGGTTTTGAAACATAGCAGGTGATGAAATTTGAATCCATTAAAATACGAAATTGAGGTTATTCTAATTGTGACCATATATGCACTGTTGATTGTCATAAAAGAAATCTGATTCACTTTAGGGAAGGAAGTATGTATGCTCTGTTTTGAGGAAGGGTCACCGGACCTGAAACTAACTCTGTTTTTTCGGGTTTTTTTTTTTTAGTTTTTTTTTATCTGATCTAAACTATGTGTGACTCCAGGTGCACAATAATGTGGTTGACTCTCAGCAGTTCTCTGAAATAGCATTGCAAGCATCTCACTTCAAGGGTAGTTCAGAATGGGCAATAAGTGCTGGCCTAGCCAGTGTCATCCTCGTACCATGTGAAGAATATTTCATCTCTCTTGTCTTGCACTCTATCTCAAACCTACCATTTTGATCCTTTTACCACCCTCCACCTCACTTGCTTAAAATCTATTTCCAAATTTCCCGGTTTTACTGTAAGGTTATCGGCACTGGTTCTTTCTCTCTGTAGATGCTATTTCATCTGCTGAGTATTTCCAGCATCTCCTATTTCTGCTTCAAATTCTGCAGACTGGTATGGCTGTGATTTTGTTTACTTTGAAATGTTTGATTAATTATGGACCTTACATGATCAATTCCAGAAATGTTTTTGCAGTTCTGTATGTACTATTGAATTAATATCAATTTTTTTCTAGATTTGCATAATTAGAGTACAGAAAGAGGCTAAATGGTCCAAGTGGTTTATATTGAGTGTTTATGAGCCTCTTCTCAAATTCATTTCATCTTTTTACAATGTCAGCATTTAAGTTGTTTCGAGTGAATGCTAGCAGACTGCAAGAGTGCAAGCTTCAAATTTTGTTTTGTGTTTTCAAAACAATTCCAAAGGTTGTGCATTGTGAAAAAAATGTTTAAAAAAAAGTCTAGTCCATGAAACAACTCTTAAAAAAAACTGTTTCTGACCCTGTTAGTATGGCTGCTGTGTTGCAGAAATGGGAGAAAAGCTAATGTGTTATTTTACTCTGCTTAAAATGAACATTGCATTGATGACATAAGACAACTTGGTTTTGTTCCAGGTCCTGAGACAGAACTTGTGTCTGGAGGATCTGATAACCATCTAATTGTTTGGGAGTTGCAGAATTTTAAGGTGAGTTAGATTTAAAACAGCCAACTTTTCTGCAAAGTTTCCAATGACAGATTTGGAATCAACACTGTCGAGGGAACTGTTTCTGCCTTTAGTTGCAGTTAATAGTAATTTAAATACAGAACAAATTAATTTGTTTCTGTTTTGCAACAGTTTTTTTCGTTGAATAATTAGTATAGTAATTTAGTGATTATGATATTAGACCACATTTCTTGTGCTGTCTAGTCCTACCTGTCCCCATGCAATCAGCACACCTTGAAAATAAGATCTTCTCTAGCTCCTAATTTATTACCTCCAGAATTCTCAAACACATCCTCTTCGTTTTCGTCACCTACATGGTGATATCATCCACAGGTTTTGGGCAGCTTCCATATCCGGACAAATCGCATTCACTTTCACCTCTTCATCACTCCCCTCAACCTCATTATAACTCTTGTGCTATTAGAATGCATGTCTGATATTGCTGTTAGTGGGCTGGAAATTCATACAGTTGAACATGTTGGAAAATTAAAGATGTCTTTTCACGATGTATAATGCCATCAAATCCATCCTCTTTCCTCTTCACAAAGCCTCCACCTCCAGCTATTTGTTGGATTGTTCTGAATTAGGTATTATGCATACTTAGGCCAAGATTCTCAGAGCTGGAAAATTTTCTAGCTCTCAGTTTCCGTCTCGGGAGCAAAGTGGTGGCATTTTCATTTTGGGATGAGATACAGGACAGACCCTGGCCCAACATCTCCTGATGCACATCCAGGTTGGCAGGGAAGCTGCTGAGTGCCGAGGCAGATTGTTCAAAAGGCCAGCTTCGGTTTCGTGGGCTAGTCAGTTTTTAAACATTAGGCCCAGTCATTGTTTTGTCTCACAAGCCCTCGGTCCCCACCCACTCCTCATGCTCATCTATGCCAGCTCATTGCAATTAATGCCAACTCACATTCCTTCAGCATCCCCTTGTCCCCTTTATAGTACCTCTTCTAATTTCGTGCCTACTGATGCCAATCAATGCCCTGCACACACCACCTTCTTTTCCTTACAGCTTCCATGCCAACTGTTACAATTGGGACAGTGTTCCTTTGGATTCAGGAAACTACATTCCAGCACTTGCTCATAAACATAATTTTAGCTTGTCCATATTGCACTAAACCAGTTCTGCCCCTGTGTTTTTCCAAACTTAAATCTTTCTCAGTTGCACCAAGCAAGTACTGCTCGTGGGCATTTTTTAACCCCGCATTCTGCTGCACTGAACTATGAAGGGCTCACTTTCTTCTCCAAGTCCCCAGGATGCTTCCTGAACTCGAGTCCCAATACCTACCTGCGCCTACTGGATCCGATGATGTTACTTTATCCTACCTTCATGGAGGTATCAAACAGCTTCTGAGATTCTTTTCTGAGAACCAGCAACACACAGAACCAGCTGCCTTCAGTCATCTCACATCAACACCTTTCCAACCTTGAGCTTATTCCTTTGCTTCTCTCTGCATAATTGCCTTATTAACTCTAATTGACTCTAATCCTCGGGCAACTATCCATTTATGTTTGAACTATTTTGAGTGATCTAGAGTCATAGAGTCACATAGCACAGAAATGGGCCCTTCAGCCCAACTCGTCCATGCCGACCAGGTTTCCTAAACTGAACCAGTCCCACTTGCCTGAGTTTAGCCCATATCCCTCTAAACTTTTCTGATTCATGTGCCTGTCCAAATGTCTTTTAAATCATGTAATTGTACTCGCCTCTATCATTTCCTCTGGCAGATCGTTCTGGACATTCGCCACCTTCTGTGTGGAAAAAGTTGCCCATCAAGTCCCTTTTAAATCTTTCCCCTCTCACCTTAAATCTATGTCCTCCAGTTTTGGACTCCCCTACCCTCGGGAAAAGACCTGGCTATTGACCTTATCTATGCCAGTCATGATTTTATAAACTTCTATAAGGTCACCTCTAGCCTCCTACGCTCCAGGGAAGAAAAGTTCCAGCCTATCCAGCCCCTCCTTATAACTCAAACTCTCCAGTCTTGGTACCATCCTTGTTAATCTTTTCTGCATCCTTTCCATTTTAATAACATCCTTCCTATAGCAGGATGACCAGAATTCAACCTTTAATACTCCAAATGTGGCCTTACCAATATCTTGTACAGGTGTAACATGATGTCTGAACTCCTGTACTCAGTGCTGTAACCGATGAAAGCAAGTGTGCCAAACATCGTCTTCACCACCCTTTCTACCTGTGACACCACTTTCGAGGTACTATGTACCTGCATGCCTAGATGTCTCTGTTCGACAACACTCCCCAGGGCCCTGTCATTAAGTGTGTAATCCTTGCCCTGGTTTGTCTGATCAAAATGCAACACCTCACATTTATCTGAATTAAACTCTATCTGCCATTCCTCAGCCCATTGGCCCAGTTGATTGAGATCCCATTAAACTCTTATATAACCTTCTTCTCTGCCCACTATACTTTCAATTTTGAAGTCATCCACAAACATACAGACCGTGCCTCCTGTGTTCTAATCCAAATCGTTTATATAAATGGTGAACAACAGTGGACCTAGCACCAATCCTTGTGACACACCACTGGTCATAGGCCTCCAGTCTGAACACAACCCTCCAACACCACCATCTGTTTCCTGCCGTCAAGCCAATTTGGTATCCAATTGGCTACCTCTCCCTAGATCCCACATGATCTTACCTTACTAACCAGTCTACTGTGCGGAACCTTGACGAAGTCCTTGCTAAAGTCCCTGTAAATGTCTACTGCTCTGCCTTCATCTTTCTTCTTGGTCATCTCTTCAAAAAAACTCCTCAAATTTCAGAGACTTATAAACTTGCACAAAGCCATGCTGACTATCCCTAATCAGTCCTTGCCTTTTGAAATGTGTGTAGATCCCATTTCTCTCACTCCCCTCCAGCAACTGACCCACCACTGACATTAGGCTCACCACTGTGTAGTTCCTGGCATTTCCCTGCAGCCCTTCCGAAATAATGGCACAACATTAGCTACCCTCTAGTGTTCTGGTGCCTCACCCGTGGTTGCCATTGTTAAAAAAAAAAATCTCTGCCAGGGGTGCTGCAATTTTTTCCCCACAGTGTCCTGGGATACACCTGATCAGATCCCAGGGTTTTATCTTCCTTTATGTGTTTTAAGACCTCCAGCACCTCCTCTTCTGTAACTTGGCCTCTTTTCAAGACATTACTATTTATTTCCCAAGTTCCCTAGCTTGCATGTCTTTGTCCAAGGTAAAGCATTGACAAAAAAAAAAATTGTTTAGGATCTCACCCATCTCCGATGGCTCCACACGTGATCTTATTGGTCTTTAAGGGGCCCTGTTCTCTCACTAATTATTCTTTTTCCCTTATATAACTTATCAAATCTCTTTGGATTGTCCTTTATCTTAACTGCCAAAGCTATCTCATGTTCCCTTTTTATCCACCTGATTTCCCTCTTAAGTGTACTCTAACAGGTCCATACTCCTTAAGGGGTTCGGTTGAGCTGGGCTGGCAATACCTTATATATATCCCCTTCTTTTTTCTTGAACAGAGCCTCAATATCTCGAGTCGTCCAGTCAGAAATCACATGACACGAGGTTATAGTCCAACAGATTATTTGAAGCTTGGGGGAGTGCTACCCCTTCGTCAGGTGAAGTGAAGAAAAGCATATAGACAGAGAGATCAATGGGCAGAGAGATCAAAAGATCATACAAATGGTGTGAGTGGGCTGTCGATAGACTGGATAATAAGTCTGTGCAGGTAATCAAAAGCGTCAGATGGTGTGAGTAAAGTGTCAACAGCTGAATGGTAAATGAGGGGATGACCTATAATCCAAATACTTGACACAGAGAGATAATTACAAAAAATTAAAAAATTAGGTAGTGCTAAAGACCAACCAAATAGCTAGAATAACATGATAGGTATAAGAGTTGCATGCCGAGGGTCTAACCAAAGTAACAAGTAATCCAAAACTGTACAAACTAATTAAGGTAGAGAGATCATAACAAGTTATCAAGGTGATGGTGTTAAAAGAGGACAGTAAGGAAGATTTTATAAATCTAGAACAGTATGGTGGGGTTATATGTAGCACGCCATGAACCCAAGATCACAGAGGAGGCCATCTTCATGGGTACGGAAATTGGCTATCAGTTTCTGCTCGGCAATTCTTTGTTGTTGTGTATCTCAGTGGTTGTCTTGGAGGATGCTTACCTGTAAATCAGAGGCTGAATGTCCTTGATTGCTGAAGTGTTCCCTGACTGGGAGGGAACATGCCTGTCTGGTGATTGTTGCACGGTGTCCATGTGTCCGTTGTCGTAGCGTCTGCATGGTCTCGCCAGTATACCATACCTCGGGGCATTCTTGCCAGAGCGTATGAGGTAGACAACATTGGCCAAGTCACATGAGTATCTGCCGTGTACGTGGTAGGTGGTGTTTCCATGTGTGACGGTAGCATACATGTCGATGATCCGGGATGTCTTGCAGAGGTCACCATAGCAGGGTTGTGTGGTGTTATGGTCGATGTTGTCCGGAAGGCTGGGTAGTTTGCTGTGAGCGATCATCTGTTTAAGGTTTGTCGGCTGTTTAAAGGCAGGAAGTGGGGGTGTAGGGATGATCTTGGCAAGATGTTTGTTGTCATTGATGGCAAGATGTTCGTTGTCATCGATGACAAGTTGAAGGCTGCGAAGAACAAGGTACAGTTTCTCTGCTCTAGTTATCCACTGTTTCTGACTCATGCCAGCCTTGCCCTTCACACTAACAGAAACATGTTGGCTCTGAATTCTCACTATCTTCCTTTTGAAAGCCTCCCACTTGCCAGACATCCCTTTACATGCGAACAGTCACCCCAGTCAACTTTTGAAAGTTCTTGTCTAATATCATCAATATTGACCTTGCCCCAATTTAGAACTTTAACTTGTGGACCAGACCTATCCTTTTCCATAAATATTTTAAAACTAATAGAATTATGGTCACTGGTCCCAAAGTGCACCCCCACGAGCAACTCTTTCACGTGCCCTGCCTAATTTCCTAAGAGGAGGTTGGGTTTTGCCCCGTCTCTAGTAAAGCCATCTACATATTGATTGTGAAAGTTTTCCTGAACATGCTTAACGAATTCCTCCCCATCTAAGCCCTTAACACTATGGCAGTCCCAGTCTTATATTTGGAAAGTTAAAATCCCCTACTGTCACAGTCCTATTATTCTTACAGCTATCTGTGATCTCCCTATACATTTGCTCCTCAATTTCCTGCTGATCTTGGGACCATCAAAGTGATCGCCTCCTTGAAAATCTTGCAACAAACCTTGCCCCATTACTTGGCAAAATTATATGTAACATTCATTGGAAAAACAAGTTGCCTTAATGTTGCAATTTTCACAGTTGCTGGCTTAAATTGTACAAATGGATATAACAGAAAAATAAATTTTGTCATGCTGTTCACTGAATGTCCTCAATGAGCAGATCTCAGAAGATCTGCTGAGATGAAAGAAAATAAAGTTCTAAGCATCTATTACAGACATAACAAATAAAGTAACTTTTATTCATTAAAAGTTTACTTAATACATAGAAATCTTCAAGTACTTAATCATCAACATAAAAAAGATTTCTGTTCACACTCCCCCACATCAAAGAGCTACTCTTTTAATATCCTCCTGGGTATCCTCTTCTGAATCAAACTGTGAACTTACAGCCCACCATTGTGGTAGTGACATGTTGTGGAAGTGGCCAAGCAGTAATAATGCTGTAATGGTCACAATTTGGGTTATGTCAACAAACTCAGTTCTTAGACATGCTGTTCTTCATTTTTTTAAATTTAAAGAGCAAAATATTTAAATAGCTTGACAGTTCTAAATGACTTTATTTGCCCATTTCAAGCATTTATGCCGACTCACTTATTAACCGCTTATCCATTGTGGTGATAAGCTGTGGATTCGCCACAACTTTGTGAAATGCCAAGCCTTAGTATTCGGTTCACTCCAAGACTGTCTCGTCCCATTTCCTTTCAAATCCACTTTGATAGTTTTTCTAGCTTCTGCATCTACATTGACCCTAGCTTCAATGAAACCTTTAGCCATATTTTTGTTGTTTTTAAGTTTTACATTGTCTTCCTCGCTAGCCACCTGACCTGCATCTTTATAAACACGAAAATATCCAAAACATCAGTCTTTTAAGCTGAACTACCCATCACCTTCATTTCTGTTACCTGCATTGGTTTCTTGCATCTGAATGGATCAATCTGAAAATGTTTGTCTTGAAGATAACTTTGTGGTCTTGTCTATGGTTCCTCTGCCACTTCTGTTAGTATTATGTTGCAAAATCGTAAATAATAGCTCAATTTTTGAGTTATGAATGATTAGCTACTTTACCAATGCTTATCAGTTTGCAGTCTCCACCCAGCTAGAAGGCCATTCAGGAGCTGTGTGTGCTGTAACAGCTATTTACAAAACTGTTAACTTGGACGAACATCAGAAACTGCTGATCGCTTCAGCAGCAGCGGATTCCTCTGTCAGAATTTGGACAAAACAAGGTTCTGTGGGTAAGGTATTAACTTACCTTATATGTTCGTGGCAACTGCAAATGTGGCATGTGAATTATAAATAGGAATGCTGTAAAAAATTTTAATTTCACTAAATTTTCAATTATCAAATATAACATCCAAAGTTAAATGCCTTGTAAAGATCATTGCTTTCAATATTTTTCCCCAGGTGAAAATAGCTGCCAAGATATATATTTTTAAGCTGGTTGTCTTCATCTCAACCCTGCATATCACAAAAGATGGAAATCATACGAACCTTGAATTTTGACTCCATTAAACTCGTGAACAAGTTCACTTGGGATATAATGGAGCATAAATAAAAGTGGTGCTCAATTGGTGTGCATTTTGACTGAATAGGTAGTAGAGAAATTGGCCTGTGTTTTATTATTATCTGATGTCCTTGAACTTGCAGTTTTCTTGCCTTTTATACAAACCGTGTTATTTCTTTCTTTTGATCATGTAAGTTGTGATTTCACAATTGTTCTTTTGAATGTAATGTGATTTCAAGAGACTGTCTGGAGTTTAATGCCTAGATTTTTTTTTCTGGTTTCTTTGTGATGTTGGTTAGCTCAGTGACCAGAGAATTTATTTTCTGGGTTTTTCTAGGCTATCTGTTTTTAGTTTGACAGCTGTAATTTCAGGCAAGCAGTCTCTGAATGGAACCTCTTTGTATTTACACTATGTAAAAGAAGATGATGGTAAGGAAGTCAACACAGATTTAGTAAAGGCAAGTTATGTTTGACTACTTTGATCAAATTGTTTGACGTAAAGTACAGCTGATGAAGTTTCTGTGTTTTTATGTGTATGAAGATTTGAAGGGTGCATTTGTTAAAGTGTGGCGTAGTGTACTGTTAACCAAATTAAAGCTCATAAAATTAAAGGGACAGAAGTCACATGGTTACAAATTTGGCTCTGGGATAGAAAACAGTGGTAGTGAGCAGTTATTTGTCAAACTGGTGTGTGGTATGGTGGTGTTCCCCTGGCAAGTGTGTATTTATGCACAGCCCAGACTTGGGTATGCAGGGCATAATTAAGTTTGCAGGAGACATGAAAGAGAAAATGTAGTAAACAAGGAGAAGGATAGTAACAGAATACATGGATAGGCAAATGAAATGGACAGATGTGTGGATGAAATTAAACACAAAAGATTTTGTTAGGAAGAGTCAGAACAGAGAATGTGAATTAAATAATGATGAAGTGAATGCAGGAGCACAGAGATCTGGGAATGTATGTATATGTCTGGCATGGGATGCAGTGGTTGTATTCCTGTATAAAAAACAAGAGAAGTCTTTTCCTTACTTTTTGTTGGGTGTACATATTTATGCTTGGATTATCTTGAAAAAAAAACTGGAAGAGTTTAAACTATTTGGGTATTCTCTGGATTGCGATAGGTCTTATCATGTAATTTCTTTGAAATGAATAGGAGGTATTGTTTTGGATTCAGTATTTTAGCTTGAATGTTAATCAGTAATTGCTACTTGCTTCAAGAATTTTTTTTTAATGAGATGCAGATCAGGAATTAAAGTTACCTATCATCATGGCAACTACCCCAGAAAGAACCCTTTCTCCAATTTTATTGCCCTAAATGTGACCTGAGTGTATAATTTCTCTTCATGATCTATTACTAATAAGCTTCATAACAGTTGTATGCTGACATTATCTTCTCACCCAGAGACAATTTTTCATTGGTGAAGAATCTGTCATTATTAGTACCAGCAGAGTTGAGGGATTTCTGTTATATCCACTGAAATTAATTTTCTGTTCATCTAATCAAGAAAATTGTGAGGTTCCTCTCCCAAGCTATTGGCTTTCTAAACTAATTTATACCTCCATGTAATTGCTTATTTTTGTTGTTAGTGCAACTGCTGTTGGATGCCGACTTGGTGTCACATTTCAACTCACATTGGTAGACAGAAAATCTGTGCACAGTGACACTAGGTCTTTGAGGGCAGCTTTGTTCCACATCAATGAGTGCTGTGGCTTTGTTACTAATTTTAAAATCCAGCCCATTACTTCATGTTCAACTTGTTGGTGATGACCGAGAATTCTTTCAGATCAGGAGATATCTTCAATAAAACAAATAATCATAGAACAATAAAAAAATGAAAAGACCCTGTCTGGAAGAGGAAATGATTAACCAAGAAACAAGGAAACCTAAACCAGATTCTAAAACATAGTGGAAAATCATTAACTGAAAATACAAACCAAAACTGCAGAGACCAAGTCTGAAATGGAAAACAAAATTAGAAACCAAAACATGCAGCTATTTGCAAAAGGAGGAGGTGGTTAAATCAAAACCAAAACTGATTTTAAAAGACTAAGATCAAAACATGAATTGGTTGTCTTTCTGAAAAAAGGATGCTGCCCTCTGTAGGTGCAGTCTGGAATTATATTAGTTAATGATTTCCTATCTTGCATTCCACTAGTTCAAGAGCTTGAGTTTGATTTTCCCAAGACTAGATCATTGGAAAGTCTAGCATTACTAAGTTCTCTCCGGCCCCAACTGAAAGTGAGATATTTATTCACAAATAGTTTATTCACCATACATTAATAGATGAGGGAATTAAATGTAGTGTCTTCATGTTTAAAGACAACACAAACCTGGGTGGGAGATTGAACCGTAAGAAAGATGTAGAGATCCTTCAGTATGATTTAAACAAGTTCACAGAGTGGGTAAATGCATGACCGATGAAGTCAAATGTGAGTCAATATGAGACCATAAGACCGTAAGATGCAGGGTCAGAATTAGGCCATTTGGCCTGTCCTGTCTGCTCCTCCATATGCTTCTGGCTGATATGTTTCTCAACCCTATTCTCCTGCCTTGGCCCCATAACCATTGATGCCCTTACTAATCAAGAACCTTTGTATCTCTGTCTTAAAGACACTCAGTGATTTGGCCTCTACAGCCTTCTGTGGCAATGAGTTCCACAGATTCACCAAACTATAGCTGAAGATATTCCGCTTCATCACAGTTCTAAAGGATTGTCCCTTCACTCTGAGACTGACCACTTGAGTCCAAATCTCTCCAACTAGTGGAAACATCTTCTCCATGTCCTCTTTATTCTAGTCTCTCGGTATTCCATAAGTTTCAATCAGTTCCCCTATTGTTTGTCTAAATTCCTTGGAGTATACACGCAGAATACTCAACTGTTTCTCATATGACAAGCTCTTCCTTCCCAGGATCATTCATGTAAACCTCCTCTGGACCCCATCCAAGGCCAGCACATCCTTTCTTAGATACAGGGCCCAAAATGACTTACAATATTCCAAATGTGGTTTGACCACTGCCTTATACAACCTCAGAAGCACACCCCTGTTCTTGTATTTCTAGCCCTCTTGAAATGAATGCTACTGTTGCATTTCATTCCTGACTGCTATTTGAACATGCATGTTAGCCTTAAGAGAATCCTGAACTAGGACTCCCAAGTCTCTTTGTGCTTCAGATTTCCAAAGCTTTTCCCCATTTAGAAAATAGTCAACGCAACTATTCTTCCTACCAAAATGTATAATCACACACTTCCCCAAATTGTATTTATCTGCCTATTTCTTTGCTCAGTCCCCTAGCCTGTCCAACCCCTTCTGCAGTCTTCTCACCTCCTCAACACTACCTGTTCCTCCAACTATTTTTGTGTCATCTGCAAACTTAGCAACAATGTCCTCAGCTCTTTCATTACATCATTAATGCGTAATGTGAATAACTGTGATCCTAAAACTGATCTTTGTGGAACTTCACTAGTCACTGGCTACCACCCTGAAAAAGACCCCTTTATCCCCAGTCTCTGCATTTTGCCAGTCAGCTAGAACTATCTGTCAATCTATCTATGCAAATACTTTGCCCTTAACACCATGGGTTGTAATCTTATTTAGCAGCCTCCTGTGCAGTGCCTTGTCAGAAGCCTTTTGGAAATCCACATAGGTCAAGTCCACTGGCTGTCCTTTGTCTAACTTGCTTGTTGCCTCCTCAAAGAATTCTAACAGATTTGTCAGGCATGACCTTTCCTTGATGAAACCATGCTGACGTAGTCCTATTTTAGTATGCATTTCCAAGTACTCTGCAATTCCAATCTTACTAATGGACACGAAAATCTGACAGGCTAATCAGCTTATAATTTCCTGTCTTCTTCCTCCCTTCTCAAACAGGAGTGTCACGGTAGCCACTTTCCAGTCCCCTTGGACTCTCCCCAACTCCAGTGATTCCTGAAAGATCACCACTAATGCTTCCACAATTTTCTCAGCTGTCTCCTTCAGAACTCTGGGATGAAGTACGTCTAGTCTGGCTGATTTATCCACCTTCAGACCTTTGAGCTTCCCAAGCACTTTTTCCTACCCTGACCTCTGCCCCGACTCTCTTGAGGTTCTGGTTTGTTACTGGTGTCTTCCACCATGAAGGCTGTTGGAAAGTATGTATTCAGTTCCTACTCTGTTTCTTTGTTCTCCATTTCTAGTACTCTAGCCTCATTTTGCAGTGGTCCAATGTCCACTCTTGCCTCTGTCTTACCTTACTATATCTAAAATAGCTCTTGCAACCTTCTTTTATATTACTTGCTGACTCACTCTCATATTTCATCTTATCCCCTGTGAAATAACTGCACAGAGGCCGGTATACTGTCACTAAGTTACCCTTTATTTACGTGTGCACGGTATGCTGGTTGTGGCCAGCCAGCTTGAAGTCAGTCCGTGAAGTAAGGAGATTATGAATCGCTTGTTTATATCGGTCACCTAGGGCTCCCTTATTGACGCAGGTTAACAACCTCAATCAAAGATCTTATAGTCAATAAGATCCACCTGGTTCCAATCACTACACCCCATTATTGTTTTTTTACTTGTCCTTTGCTGGTTTTTGAAAGCTTCCCCATCCTCTTCACTATATTGTATGCTTTTACTTTTGCTTTTATGCTGTCTGTGACTTCCCTTGTCAGACATGGTTGCTTCATCCTCCCCTTAGTGTTCTTCTTCATTCTTGGGATGAATTTCTGCTGTGCCTCCCAAATTACCCCAGAAACCCCTGCCAATTCTGCTCCACCATCTTCCTTGCTATGCTCCCCTTCCAGTCAACTCTGGACATGTCTTTGGCATTAAGCTTCACTGAATTGTAATACCGTTATTCTGATTCCAGCTTCTCCCTCTGAAACTCAGGGTGAATTATATTGTATTATAGACACTGTACCACCGACCCCCTCCCCCCGCCGCCCCCCACTCACCCAGGGGTTCCATCTCCTTAAGCTCCCTAATCAAGTCTGCCTCAGTACACTGAATCCAGAATTGCCTGTTCTGTAGTGGGCTGTACCTCAACCTGTTCCAAGAAATCATCTTGAAGCCCCCATGACTATAGCGCCTTTCTTGCATGTCTTGCATTTTTTGCCTGTTTGCTCATCATTACAACTGCTTCATCCACATGGAGCAAGAATCTCAAACCTGTCAGTCAAGCTCAAGAGCTGAGGTTCCTTCAGCACAACCTCTTGGATCCCCCTACCTGTCTTGCTGTAAGTCACACTTACCGAATTCGAGGTAGTTAATCTAACGAGTGTGACTGCCTCCTGAAAGGCATGATCCAAATAAATCTCCCCTTTCCTGCTGTGTCGTACTGTTCAAAACTGTTCAAAACTCACTAGGATCTACTAGCTCCCATATCATGCAGGTACAATACACGCCTAACCCTGCCTCTCTGTTTTATTTACATAGTTCTTAATTTGTTTTTTACAAGAAAAATTGCTGCTCATCTTTAGCTTGTAATCTGTAACTATTTCTCCTATCTAGCTTCAATAGGTAAGTCATTTTATAGTATGGTGGAATTAGCAGCTATTACCGAGCAATGAACTCATGGTTTTCCTTTGATGTCATATTTTGTTTTGTGCTGGTCTATTTGTGCCTATTTGTTTTTGTATGCTTGGACAGAGAATTATTACTGCATTCAAGAATTTATGAATGAGTATTTGTATAATTCATTCATTTTGGATGTGGTTGACAGCCTTTACATGTTACTATAACTTGTTTTGTATTATCTTTTTTCTGATAAGAATTGTAGGTTGCAAGATGCAAAACTAAATTCAATAAATTATTTATGGATAGGTCAATGTGTACAAACCCTGATGTTCGGTAATGGATTTATGATGGATGTTGCATTAGCACAATTACCAGGCAGTGATGGTAAGTGCTGACAAATTGGAACTCTAGTTGATCTTCCATAATTTAATTCTAGATTGTCCATATCATTTTTTGATGTGTTGGAGGTATATTTTAAAGGAAAATGAACATATTTCAAAAACTGCATTATCCTTTGTGTAATTATTAAGGTATAAATTAATCATTACAGGTTTTTTTAGGAGAATGTGTGAATAAAGAAAACTGCAAGAAATGAATCTTAATAATAATAAAGAAGATGGATAATAAAGAGTTCAATAATTTAAAATGAGGCACAAGAGTGACGAAAATGTGACTTCAGATTAGAGAGGATTGGTTGAGAAAGTAGAGTGAGATATTTATATATTTTCTAGGAAAAAAATGTTGATCTGGTTGTTTAAAATTTAAGAGGTGTGAATAAAGAATTTTCTCACTTAAAACTGAAGGCAAAGCTGGCTAAGGGAGAAAAATGGAGAAAATTGCTGTGCAGTACTGAATTTGAATATTGTTGGCAAGGGTGTTATGTTGCTGAAGCATTTTGTCTTGCTGTCGTCAGAGCAAAGACCAAAAACTAATTTTTAAATGATCACAATAGTTTGTACTACAGATGAAAAAATGGTTTTGAATTGTTAGCAAGTCTGCTCAGACCAAGGTGTTGACATGGAGAAAGCTGTGTGGAACAATTGGCTTCCTAACTGCCAACTAAAATAATCTGTCCAATCAGCAGCATGGCTCATTTATATTTGCTAGAAGTGACCTATATTAATAAGCAGGGACCTGTTCTCTGCGAGTCTTGTAGCTTTTCGAATTACCCAGGAGCTTGGGGAGCCATGTCTATTTCAGTTAGACAGAGTCAACTTGCCAAACAAACAGCACCTATTTTTCCTGTAGTATAAATTGTTATACTTGTTTGATATTTGACATTCTTGGGTTTGACCTGATGAGTGAGAGATGAAACCTTTGACAACATGTTTGTCCTTTCAACAGTTAAAAGGAGAGTCAGAGTTAGAGTGGAGTTATGAAAAGGATCAAGAGCTGCTGCTTTGATTATTATCAGTGTCCCAGTAGAGGATAATAGATAATTTTTTGGCCAGTTAGTTGTGGATCTGCTTTGCTGAGGAGAATTGGGTAATTGTCTGTAGAAAATGTATGCTGCCCATCACTTTCTCTGTCTTCCTTTTAGTCCTGCATCACCATAATGCTCAGTGGTACTTATGCATTTACCGATTTTGAAACAGTAAGATGTTATAAATGATCCATGCGGTTTGAAATATTAAGTGACAGTGTTTTGGCGGGTTGATAGAGGATGATAGGTAATAAGCATGGAATTAGGCAGAGCTTAGAGAGGTAGCTACAGCATTGCTATTCAGAATTGAGAAGACATAAATCCTTCACTGAAGCGAATGGCACTTAGCTTGACTAAATTTTACTTTCTGTAATCGGCAAATTTTAAGTTGAAGTTTGTTTATTTGAAAGGTGTTTTTGCTCCTAAAGAAGGAATATGTGTGTTTGTATATGCAAAGACTAAATTGTTTCATCTGTCTTGCACTTAAAGGTGCAACAAAAATAACAGGTTAAAAGGACTAATACTTTTTAATTAAAATTAATAATGCTAGGTGGCTATCTTTTGTGAATATATTTTATGAAATTTCTAAAAGGTTATGGTGCATTTATTTGGTACCATGTAATACTGTTCTCACTGGTAAATTTTATGATTCTAGCTGTAATTCTTGCTTGTGGTGGCGATGATAGCAAAATTTATTTATTTGTCCGAGAAGATGGACAGGTAAGTTGACAAGAAATTTGTATTTATGCATGTTATTAATACCAATGGAGTTTACATTTAATTTGTAATCCAAGCATTTGCCATTTTGAGTTGATTAGTTACTTGTAAAGCAACAAATCTTGATCTTGCTATTCAGCTAGCGTGTATTTCGGAGGAATGTCAATATGCAGGTGCAGGAACGTTTGTGACGGACGCAGCTCTGCCTTCCAGTTGGAAGGACAGCCTATTTAGTCAGCCTTCCATCATTCAGTGAAGTTGTGGCTGGAAAGTTCACCGT